TCTTATTTTGAATCAATGTGCCGTGGGACTCCTTTGTTACTTCACTCACGCCTGCTTTGCTAAAACGTATGCTCCTAATTAATCGAAAGAACGATGATGAAGTTTTCTATGGACTTTCATTGACGTAGGCGACGCTAACTGATGCAAAACCAATTGAAACCTGTAGGGGATTGTGGATCTCCATCCAGCTGAGATTCGTATGAAAATACGCGTCGACCGCCGCTTGACGATTAGTTTCCCTAGGAATTAATGCTTTCGTCTGCAGAAAGTTAGGTGAGGGAAACAGGTCAGAGTTGAAGTTAGGGTGGAACTCAAATACGGGGATGTTTCCGTTTGGACAAGGCACAAACACTACGGAATGGGATCGGTACTCCTTCTCTTCCCCCCATCCTCAACAGCCTCAGAAACAACGCAGTGTAGTGGGATGTCTATGGGTTAAAAGCACGCCCAAACAGGAGATTCATCGAAAAATCGGATTCAGTGACGCTACTTTATTGAACTCTTTTCTATAACTCATTTGAACGGAAGGATAACCTAGAGCTTGGTTGATTACACTACCTACTTAAATTAGATGAACACAACTGTAAATACAAGTTGTACTCATTCAATAACCAGCTATTCACTTATACTTCCTTAGCTAGAATGACGTCAAAACAAGGCGAATGAGAGAGAAAATTGATTGCATTGTTGCACACTAGGGTTATTTATATCGGTTACCGCTAAAGGTAAGAAAAATAAGTGAAAATAGCAAACACGCAGCGAAACAAACAGACAGTAGTGTGATAAAAACTGGAATTTGGAATGAAATAATTTCTTGTGAATTTGATGACACCATAACAGTGATGAAACGGACGAACTTTTGGAGTGATTACAGGATCATAGGGGAAAGAAGAGAGAATTCTTTTGGGGAACAAATTTAATTGGACATACGAAATGATTGCTTGAGAGGAGCAAAAGAAAATCAGGTGAAAATATTCAGGTAGATTGTAAAACAGGTCATGGGAACCAATCAGATCCAGATATAATGAAAGACTGTGGTATTTATGAGGTTTAGAAGCACTGAGGAGCACGGAGGACATCGGTCCAGTAAGACCAAAAACGACCTGCAAAAATCCAGAAACAACAGAACCATGCAAAAGACTGTCCTGAATATTGACAAATGGGCCAAAATGGACAGGAGGAAAGAAACTTCGGTGTTAGATGAACAAGTCGAAAAGGAACAGAATCGTACATATAAAGATACTTGAAGAGCACGTTGTCCTAATGTGCCACAGAGTACGGTGCCGGATAGACCAAAAGATCAGCTCCAGTGGGAAGAGCCAATAGGGCGGGTAGACCACCTTTCAGTATACAAACACGATCAACATCCTCGCGAATAAGCCAACTGGCTAGTTGCATTGCCACCGTAGAATGGAGTTGCTGGTTCATTGGACTGACCTCAGCACCACCAACGATTATTGTGATACCAGGACAATTGCCATTATAAACCGGTGGTTGGCTAGTTCGATTGATGAGCCCAAGTTGATGAGTACACTGTCGTCGAGATGCCTCACGTCTAGCTTGAACGGCCTGCTTCCACACATCATCGGCCATCAGGTTGACGAGAAACGAAGGAAGCACACGAGAATGACGACGTATGCCACCTGGATGGTCTATTACCTCCCAGTCCGCAGCAACAGTGGGCACACCATTTTCCTCGAATTTTGAAGATGAGTTAGAGTTCAACTGCACAGACTGGATACTGATGGGTGATCTGTACACACTTCCGGCAATACAACCCCTGCGAAAAGAAAATGAAACTGTGAGCGTGATCAACTTCAACTAATTGTTTACCAGGAACAGTACTCTAAAAACGGATGCAGTCAGTATCTACTCATGAGTAGTATGTGCATAAAGTCGTAAAACCTAGGACCACACAAGAGATGCGTTCGAAAGATTGTCTAATTCGCGGCGGAATAGATGGCGAATTATCAGAACATGCATAATACAGAATAAAAGATATCTCTGATTTATAGATTGTAAACGCAATTTGTATTTCAACTTGAAGCACAAAACAATATCGTGACAACTGATCCGCGTGGAATGCAACTCATTAAAACAGTGAGTGCATGGGGTGTAAACAAAATGTTGAACTCCGGGGTGAATAGGCCACAAAAACACGCATACACCTCGCAAGCGTCACCAGTCACAATCCAACTCCACCGATATATTACTTAGAATTTACTTCTGCAAAGATGCATGCGGAGCTTCTAAATAGGCTGTATATTCTTGATGCTATGCAGGTAAGCGGACACCGAACTCATAAGCCTATTCCAGG